GTCGCTCTTAATGTTGTTTTTTCGTGTAAATTTATAATAACTTGCATAAATTAAGGCTGCTGCCACGCTTGCAATTGAAAAGATTTCAACTTCACCACGAGCAGGGGAAACTTGACGAAGGACCTGCGTGGTGAGTTTCATGTTTCCCCTTAAGGACACAATTTCCCCTGCAAATTTCAAACTTTTTCTTTGGATTTTGGTCTCTGTTTCCGTTTATGTTTTTTACAAATCTCGCATAATACCCGTAGATAATACCAAAAAATGGACTAGGGTCTCGTCCTTGGTCCGAAAATTGGCAAATTTTATATATGATTAGCTAAACACTGGCACATGTTGCCTCATGTTGTCCAGATGTAACATAACATTTATCTGCGGCAAACGAACGAGCAAACTAATGAGGGTCAGCATTTCTGACATCGAGACACGCCCACACAGAAAAAGAAAAGGCCACAGAACACACACTTTGACATTGAGGCCTTGCCTTGACTTTAAGTTCCTGCCTCCTGCCTGCTGCCTCCTTTCTCCTTTTATTCTCATGGCGGCAACTTTAAATTTGCATTTAAATTTCCCGAGCTCTCTCTCTTTTCGGTTCCGCCTTTAAATTATGCATCAAAATAGTCCACAAATGCTCCTTCGTTCGTTTCGTTCTCGCAGTGAAAGTGAAATGAGTGAGAGTGGGTACAAAAAAAAAAGAAAATAAGTAGGCTGTGTGGTTGCGGGGGGGGCGTGGCATTTTTTGGGGTGCCTTGCAATTTTTGTGATAAAATTGTGAGCTTCATTTTTTGTTGGTTTGGTTGGTTCATGCACATAAATTTGCTTTAATGCGCTTAGCAAATGTTGGCAGTTGGCCGGAATCTTTTCATCTCTCTCTGTCTCTCACTCTTTTACTCATTCTCTCTCTCTCACTCTCTCTGTGTGTGGGTTTCGGTCTATCTGTCTTTATTTGGGCGGCACATAAATCGAGCCGAGAATTTTGATAATGACACGCAGGCCTGATTTCCTTTTTATATTGTTTTCGTTGTCATTTTCTCTTTCCTCTTTTGTTGTTGTTGTTTCAAAACAAAAACAAAAATTGTTTAATTAATTAGGGGGCAACATTTTAATTAGGCTTAAGTGCTGTTGCTATTGCTGCCGTGGCGTCATGAAGGTTCAATCATTAAATGAGCAAATGCTTTAAATGTCAGCAAGTTTAATGCGATGCGAGGGTTGTTTCTAGGGTATGGTTTTGTTACCCATTTTGTGTGAGGAACCAAATTTGATAATTTTTTATGGGTCATTTTGGAGCGTATGTGTATAGGTAGAATATTCGAAATACTTTTTATTTTTAAGTTTTATATGAGGAGAGCCAAATATTTGTAAAGAGAATCGATTTAAAAAACTGACCAACTTTGCTTTTATAAAAACATACTAGCTATAACTAACATAAATATTTTTACATTGTTATAACTTACACTTTAATTTATATGAAAGACCAATAAGATATTCTACAGCTTCTTGGTAATGATAAAAATATCAAAGAAAACTCTAAATAACTCCTATTTTTTAACTTGTCTTCTTGCTCTTATGAAGCTTCCAAAAATATAGCATACTTTTCCGGGCACAAACTCAGTACAAAAAAATCTGCTGCTTAATCAGCTTTAATTTGCTGCCGTCATTCTATCGCTAGCTTGGGCAACATTGAATGACTGAGGTTAGGGCAGGAAAACATATCGAGTAACCCATTTGGAGCCGCAACCAGAAGTTGACCCACTGAGCAGCGAGCATGCAAACAAAGGCGTGGACTTGCGAGCCAAGACAATGCTCATGGCTTTTGGTGGCATGTGTGTGTGTGTTGTGGGAGGTGTGTGTGTGCCACAGTGTGCATCTTGGCCAAACAAGCCAAACAATGTAGACAATTGCTTTTAGAGCGTTGACTGATGACAATCGCAATCACTTTGCCGCCCACTCAACCTAGATTTCCACCAGCGAAAGCAAACATGGCAACAGCGGCAAGAGTTTTTGGCATCACCAGAGAATGTAGGATATAGGATGCTGGATGGTGGGAGTGGGAGTGGGAGTTCGTCCTTTTCGTCCCCTTCAATCCGGTCTCTTCTTCCTTTGGCAGTCAGGTAGCATTTGCCGGCGCTCAATTTGTAGTTTTCGGCATGGATTACACATACGCCGTGTGGTGCATTCAGCGCGCTTGTCAGCTTATAATTCAATTCGCCAACGGCAGCTGTAACTGTATACACAGAGCTGGAGCCGAGCCGGAGCTGGAGCCTGTATCAGGTGCCCCAAATTGACAGGCAAACTGCATCTGTCCTACCTGCCTGGCAAATTGCATTAGCTGTCAGAGAGGGAACTCTTACCTTTGATTGTGTAATTTATACAAAGATTTGACCTGCACTAGCTTTGACTTTGGCTACCGATTCGATGAATGAAGCATTCTTTGCTTAGCTCAAAGCGAAGGTTCTTTGAAAGCACAGTCCCCTCTGTTAATTGTGATCGTTTACCTTTGAGCTATAGGACAAAAATACACTTTTAAGTATATTAAGTATAGTTTTTCAATATTGATATAATCATATATCATTCTTCAAGGATATTCCATAAGCAAAAGGGAAGCAATTCCTATAGTTGTCTCACATTTCGACACTCATGCATGACAAGAATGAGTTCAAGTAGCTGTCAGTGGCAAAGATTTAATGCTGCTTGCTCTCGCTCTCAGTCTCCTCCAGCTGTTTTTTTTTCTCCCTTTATTGAGAAACAGCTGCCATCATAATTCAATATTTTACACTTGAATGTACACGGAACAGAACTTGACAGCGACAACAACAACAAGGATCTGAGCAGCGAATGAAAATGTTTACACGCTGCTGAGTTGCTGAGCTGCCGAGCTGCTGAGCTGCCGAGCACTTCGCACGCCAGCCAACTAACTGAATGAGTGACTTACCAAAAGGCTGGAGAAAGAGCGACTGGGGGACAGCAGGCACTCAAAAAGGCGCCAGCATGTCTCTCGACTGTCCTCCTGGGTGACCGTAAGGAGTCTGCCTGAAGTTTTCACTGCAAGTAAACAACAATGTATGGTTGAAATGTGGCTTAAATTATTTAAAATTAATATTCATAATCCCTTTGCCTTTTGTAAAGCTCTTTAAAAAAGTTAATAACATTTGGCAATGCAATTCTTGAAATTGTTTTAGGATTTTAAATCAGTAAATCAGCAAGATCATTTTCCCCAGTGCACAACTGGGCTTACAGCAACAGGCAGAGCAGGCAGGAGTGGCCAAGACAAGTCCGCACAGATTGTAGTCAAGGTAACCCAATGGCAGGTAAGTTGGCCGGCAGCCAAGGCCTTTGTGAGTGGCTGGCTGTCTTCCACCGGTTGCCGTGTGTTTGGAATAATTAGGCTGATGTAGTTAATAATTACATTTTAAGCATACCCGACCACTTCTCCCACAAATCATGGAGGTTCATGGTCATGTATGATGCGATGCCACGTCTCATTTAACATAATAACCAATTGCTCTGCGTGGGGGAAATACCATCTAGTGTTATGTAGCTTTCGGCCCACAAATTCAATCAAAGATTCTCACACAGCTCTCAGCTGCACTAAAATGGTTTACCGCAAATCCCAAAAATAAGGTCAGACTGGCGCTGAGGTAAGACGAGAGGCAGCACCTGAAATTGCAGCTGGAAACCACAGACATGGCAGCTGGATATAATCCATTTTGTGTCGTCGCCCTTGCAAACTGCATTTTTAGTGGAGATTACAAACCCTTTCTTGTTTCGGTTAAGAGTCAAACAAACAGTTTTTGTAAATTCAATCGTTTGTAGAAAGGTCAAAGGCATTCATTCCCCTTGACGTTTAATCTCTTAAAGTCTCGCAAATTTTACGACTCTGGTTGGTGTCTAGTCTGTGGAATTTGCTGTCTGGCATTTAAACGTCGGGACACCGGTGCGTATGAGCAATAATTTGCACAGAATATCACGCATACGAGGCATTTTAGCCTGTGCAAGAAATTGTACACTCAAAAAGCATTTTAAAGTCCTATTATCCACAACAAAAACAACAAAAGCAACCACAATTTACATAGAACAGCAAAGCTTTTTTTTCTCCCCCCTATCTGAGGAAACCGCAGTGAAAAACGGAAAAGTTTTTCAAGGCCCGATAAGAGTTTTTTAATTTGTCTAAAAAGGGGAGAGAGACGGGCAGGTGAGAGGAGCAAACAGTGCTGTGCCGAGTGCTCTATATACGCAGGTATCGTCAAGTGGGGGCGTTGCTCCGGTGTTGTGTTGTGTTGTGTGAGGCGAACTTTTTAGGCGGCGTAATTTATGCACAATGAAAGCGTTTGGGATTAAGGACACACACACACACACACACACCAGTCAAAATGGGGCGTGGCAAAGGCCTCGTCTGTGGCGCGGCATAAAAAAGCAAGTGCCAAACTGCCTCCTTCCTGCCCATTCCAGCAGACAGGTGTAGCAGGCAAGCCGGAAAATTAGCGGAAAGCGTCAAAAGCGTTCCCCAAACGGCAATGTCGCGGCATGTCTAACCTTTAGGAAAGTCCCATGCCCCTACTCTTTTTACATAACCACATAAATACAGGCAGAAAAAAAAGGTATGGTATACAAGTGCATTTATTTTGAATTGTTAGTTGGACAGGATACCATTCGGCCACGTTTCTTCATCAATTGTATCCTTGCTGTCAATTGATCCGTATTAACTTGTACTGCGATGACCGTGCCGAGTTTTTAGATTACAATTTAATTATTTATATAAATTTTAAGTGTGTATAGTAGACCTCTGACCATAGTTCTGGGATTTTAAACCCTTTACCTTAGCTAGATACTGCAATGGTGGACAAGTGATCACACGGATGTGATCCATTGCAGTATCCATTGTCCAGCCGGCACCCTCGTGGAGGGTTCAGACAGAGGATTTTTGCCAGCCATTAATTTTGATTACCAAAAGGACAATAAAAAAATTTTATACCGAAAATAAAACATGGATCCGAAAAATTTTAAAAAAATTACCGAAGGATGAATTTTGGAATGTTTTACGAACATTCAAATTTAAATTCAATGGTCCAATATATGAACTTTAATTTTGAACACGTCGATTCGATGATGCATTTGCTCTCTTGATCCATGTACAATTCAATCACTTCGTTGTCGAATATATTCTGCGGCGGCATAGGGTTTGTGCATGCGCAGGGGTCCAGTCCACAACGTTGCATGAGTACCCACTTGTCGGTTACTATGCCCTCGTTTTGAACCTCTAAGAAGCGGAAAATCTCACATGATGGTTTACAAAATGGAGTCACTGGCACAATAGTGGTCGCCCTTATTAGGTTATAGAACTTTATGAACGGCGTTGCGGTATGCGGCTGGCACATCGTGTTAATTGCACATATCGTCCATTTGAAGGTTACCTCATCTTCACAGACGATTACCATTTTGCCACAGAATAAGGCCATTGGCACGCATTCGCTAAAGCGTAACATTGGTGCTTCGCCGTTCTCAATTACTTGGAATAAATGTCCCAATACAGTTTCAGTTTTTACGCCGTCAGAGGCAGGATCGTCATCGGTTATTATTAAGGCAAGCTTACGATCCTCGGGCATAGATTTTGCAAACGGTGGGCGATCGTCGTCCTTGCAACTGCTATTTTGGCAGCATTGTGTTGCCGGGTTGTGGCATTTCTTTGTTCCTGGCAGTTGTCGGATAAGGATAACTCTGAACTCATTCTGTGAATTTAGAAAACAAAAACGCTTTATTATAAAATTTTTATAATATTTTTTCGAAACGAATTTTATTTACGTGATCGTATTGTTATATTTTCAAAAAAAAAAAATTACTTTTCAACAGAAAATTTTTAGCAGAGAACTTTTTCTTATGTTTTTTATAAAAAGTTGTTTTTCAACAGAAAATTTTCAGCACAATATTTTTTATGTTGTCTATATTAATACTTATTTACAAATGAACTTTCTAACACATCTCGTTCAGAAGGTTAAAAATTTGTCGATACTTATCTCAAGGCTGGCTTGATTTAATTTAAAAACAACTCGTTTGATTTACACTTTTTACTGCAGGAATAGGCGAACCTCAGCTAAAAGCTAATGTTCATTTGTCTATATAAGTTGCAAGATTTTCTTTTATTTCTTACAGTGCAGCCGATACAACAACAAGGTCAGTTAAGTAACTAACTGGTGCAAATGAGTCCGCAGTTTATGGCTTATTGCTGTTGTTGTTGTTGTTGTTGTTGATGCCGCTGCCATTTTCATGTTGACAAATTTGCCGGCGGCCAACTTCTGGGTTTTTGTCTCCATAGCTGTATTTTTAGTTTGTCTAGGTTCTGGCCGTAATTACCTGGACTCTCTCTCACGTATAATACGAACACGTTTTCTGTGGCAAAGCTGCCTTACGGTCATATCGACTCTAAACAACAAAAAGGAGTACGAGGAGAAGGAGCAGGTTGGAGCACTGGAAAATGAGCGTTTTGGGCATGATAACTTTGTCCTTAAACTTGTGCATTGTGAAAATGTTCGATGGGGGAGTATTTGCGAGGTTAGTTAGACGAACTAGACGTGGCTCTGAAAACACTTTGATTAACTTTAAAGTTTGTCAGGCATGGAAAATTGTGTTATCGACAGTTCATTTTGTTTACGCCAAATATTTTGAAATAGATTTTTAAATTGATTAAGTTTAGGGCAATGAAGAGTTTATATTTAACAAAAGTTTTTTTGATTGGGTGGTTTGTAAGTAAATATGTACATATATATACTTTAGTTTTTAATTATTCATTTATTTTATAGTTTATTTAAGCCACTTAAAATGCGGTATTAATACTAAAAAGTCAATTTGTTTTTGTTGATTCTGCTTTAAACGTTTAATTTGAAGTCACAATTTAAATTTGCTTTACTTTCGTTATGGTTTTTTGTCATGCATATCAAACGCTTCATGGCCAGTGGACATCTACACCCTCGTACAGCCAAATCCTCATCCACGGCGCTTAAGTAGCCATTGTTTTAGTGTTGTGTTTTTTCTTGTTTTTTGTTTTGTTTGTGTTATTTTTTTGGTTTATTTTCTGGTTTAGCCTGCGGCTTTGGGGCGGCTTAAAATTGGATTTGCGTTTTCGCTTTGACATAGCCTGTTTTTGTTGCTCAGCCGTGGGACGACTGAGAGTTTGTTTTCCACCTCTCCTCCACATACACTTGTAAAATGTCACTTTAATAACTTTGTGTTTTGTTATCTCTACCTTTTTTTGTGCTAAAATTTTTTCAAGTTGTTTTAGAGGTTTTGTTGGTCTTGTTTTGTAGCACGATTTAATTGCCCTTGCAGCCGCAACAGCAGCAGCAGCATCAAAAGTAGCAGCTGGCAACAATTTTCCGTTTTGGTCTCTGCTCTCGTCGTCTCTTTTTCATTTATTGTTGTATTTTTAGACGTGCCACAAATCCCCAACAGGCCAAACATGGCAAAAAAAAAAAAAAAAGAATAGCAAGGAACAGAAACATTTCGTTTTATTACTGGCAAACATGAAAGACACCACCAGTAGTAGCAACGGCAGGACGATGTGAACAATGTGTGAGATTTCGCACGTCGTTATAAATAGCAATAAAATACTCATACTGGTCGGCCAAAACGCAAAAATTAGTGCTGTAGAGGAAAACAATTTTCAAATTGAGACTCAACACTCGAAATTGTAAATTATAATTTGATTTTCATAAATGCGGGCGGGCGGGGCACCATTGTGTAGCAGCAGGAAACACGCAAATAATTTTCAAGCTTGCCCCGGCCAAAGGTCAAAGTTGAGGCTACGTCTGGTCTCCTCTCTCTCTCTCTCTCTCCCTCTCTCTTAGGAGCATTAAATTAGCAGTCTGTTTGCCAGTGCTTCTCCAACCCAACCCCATTTGAGGCAACTTTTCTTTGGTAAGCTGCTTAGGAACTGCAACAGAAATGTAACAAAGTTTCGCCAAAGTCCACCGCAAAGTTATGGCCACACAAAAGTTAATTCTGAATGGCTGCGCCTGTCGCCATGCAGCACATTTTGAAGCAAATTGAAGGGTAGCAAAGAGTCCATTATTCTTAGAGATTAAATATAAATCAAATATAGCTAACTAGAAGTTCAGGCAAAAGAAGTCTGGAAGATGTATATAATATTCAAATTTAACTGCAACAAGCTAAGCTAAATATATAGAAAATAAAGCCAGATTTCCTCTTTAAGAACCAGGAGACAAATAATAAAACATGGTACCTTTGCTTATTAAGAAATAAACAAATAATAACATAATTAATCCCCTCGATGCCTACCCAAAACCACGAGGTATCAATGCTCCATTCTATCACTTCAGAAATCTTTTTCAATTACACGCAAAATGTAGCAAACAACAACAACGACAACAACAATAATAATGCCAATGCCAAGGCTATAAAATGCTCTTGTAATTATTTGCACAAAATGCTTAATTGTTTGCTTTTACAGCGAATTTCGCTGAGCGCCTCTGGCAAATATTGACGCTCATCAATGTGTGTATGTGTATGGGGCTTCTGTGTGGAAGGAAGTTTTTCCGCTGGCGGAAAAATTATCGCACAGCGTGTGAAATAAAAATTGAGCCACGCTTTCCTGCCCCCCCCCCCACTGTCTGTCTATTTGTGGCTCTTGTTGTTGCTGTTTGGCATTTCAATTAAATAAATAGGCTTATTTTTTTATGGAGCGCAGCGCCAACGGCGGCGGCGGCAGCGTCAAGGAAAATTTAAATAACGAACCTGTGGAAAAAATGGCGCTATATGGAAAGACTGCATGTGTGTGTGTCTGTCGAAGCATTGAACCAGTTTCAAAAGGAACACACACACACACACGCCCACTCAGAGTGTGCAGCTTTTAGTCAAGTCTCTGGTTGTACATAAAAAAGTCAACAGACAAACAAACAAACAACATGTAAATTATGAAAAATGTACTAACAAAAAGCAGCATAAGCACATACACACACAGTCGGGACTATACTAACAGCAAACTTGGTGAAAATGTACCAAAAAAAATAGTTTATGGAATGAAAAAGGGTTTCAGTTTTCTTTCCAAAATATTTAAGATGAATTTATTAAATTTATTTGCCTCGAAATTTGAATAATTTTTCGTTATTAACATTTATGAAAAATATACGCTACGACCATATCTATTCGAGTTATGGTCTGAATCATTCGAATTATCGCGCGAAGATTCATTACCGATCTCTTCGACGAACCCTCTCTCCCAATTGACTGAAAGTTCCTCCTCTCCTACACGCTCTTGAAGACGCATCATTTCGATCTTTTGGTCATCTGATATTGGGGCACGTTGTGGATTTGAGGACGACGACGAATTGGAGTCTTGCGATGATGTCTGGCTGGAGGAGGAAGAGGAGAGCATCGATTCCGGATGAAGGGAGGGAAATAGCGAGGGGATCAGTGGCACATAGAAAGGATCAAAGGCGTTACTCCAATTGCGACTGGAATTCGGCAAATCCGGCATATCGATTGCTGGTAACAAGTCGGGAAACGATGAATCACCCATGAATGTAATAACGAAATGCGAGTTACGAGAGAAGAAAGATTTGTAACCTATTGGGTATAGATAGGTCTTTGGAGTTTGTTTATTTTTGAAAAAATTTCGATAGGGAATTTGATTTAGACTTTGTTAACCGGACAGCTCGAAATTATTTGACAAGCTTCAGATGATTATATAGTTTGATAATGAACAAAAAGCATACTAGTAGGTTGCACTTGTGTTCTAAACTTTCGTCGCAGACTGTATATGCCTGTGTACATTCTGAATTACTGCGTCTCGTTAGCCACCGACTGAGCCTGGTCTACCAGGTAACGTTGGATCCTGCTGCTGCTCCTACTACTGGTCCCCCCTTTTTTTTTTGTAGACACTTCTCCGCTGCCGTTGGCCACCTTCTTTGTAGGCCGACAACAGGCAGCAATAACCCATCTCTCACAGCCCCTCTCTGGCGGCGCTACCTGAAAAATGCGCACCTGTTTTGTTTATTTTGACTGTACGGGAGCTGTGTTGTTGCAGCATCCGCTTCAATCGGGTTGCTGTTGTTGCTCCTGCGGTGCGGAATTTGTTGCTGTTATTTCAGCGCAGCTGTGCCGCCATGTTGTGCATTTAAAGTGCAGCTCATCCTACCCGATATTCGCGCATACAATCCCCATGTACATACATACAACCCCTAGAAATCCAAGCCAGCACTTTCGTCACGTTTCTGGATCATTTGCTCACAGTGTGCGCTGGTATTAAGTTTTTAAAGTTGCTAAACATGTGGAAAATATATGAGAGAGAGTATCAGTTGGTGCCGAATGCAGGGATGATGTGTTCCTTGAATATGGTAGTTTATTTATTTGATAACGTTTAAATAATAAGAATGAAATGAATAAATAGGGATTTAAGTTAACTTAATCCCTGTTTGTTACTATCAAGATTCATTTTTTTATGCATAAAGCTAATTTTAAAAGAATGAAAAATGTGTACAAAAAAAAAGGAAGTAAAGAGAAATGGTTATTTTCCATCTGTTTTCTCTTACAATTACTGGGTAAAGGAACTCATTACAAAGTATGTCCGCAGGCGATTGAATAGATTTGAGCATTCCGCAGTGAGCTGAAAAAGGCAACTTTAACTGCAACTTTGACTGCGGGTTACGCTTAATTAAATGGCCAAGCATCGGACCAAGTAAATACCCTGTGTGGAATTAAAGGGGGAGAGTGAGAAGTGAGTCAAGTCGAGTTAGTTTCCTTTTGTTTATTTGAAACCTCTCTTCGGTTAGCACCCACACCCCCCTTACCCATACCCATTGACAGTGCAAGCCGGAGCTAATCAGTTGAGAAAATTTTCTGTGAGACGGCTAAAACCAAACAAAAGGGCAAAAACTCGGACCCTTTAGGGGGCGCTCTGCCTTAATTAGCGCTGCAAACAAAGGAAACTTTCTCCGAGTCCGAGATCAAG